AATAGTAAATGGATATCCAGATAAATTTGGATATGAATATCTGATGGATAAATGGATAAATAGATTATGGATTGAAATAAAAATATATTGTTAATGTGTAATGAATTATTTTGCTTTAAAATAATAAATTATTTTTGCTCGAAGTTCAATTTATTAATTAAATTTTGTATTGATCAGTTTTGTTAATTAAATTTGTATTAATCAGTTTTATTAATTAAATTTTGTATCGATCAGTTTTATTAATTAAATTTTGTATCGACCAGTTTTATTAATTAAATTTTGTATCGATTAGTTTTATTAATTAAATTTTGTATCGATCAGTTTTATTTTACCATATTAATCACGTGCATCATGCGCATCATGCTCATCATGCGCATTTTTGCATAATGCGCATGCTCAAAATGCTGCATTTTGCCCATCTCTAGTTATGTCTCATTTAACCGACAGCCATTTCACAGAAAATAAAAAATTGGCCAGCACTAACCTAATTCTAACCCTAAATCGGGCTAATATGTCAGTGAAATGACCTGTCGGTAAAATGACTTTCAAGAGGTTGAGTTACAATGCAAGGGAGAACTTGTCATCGGGCTTTCAAATATATTTGTATCGGTCACAATCAGTATAATTTGTGAAAGATTGTATCTGATACAAAATATAATTGAAAACTTTTTCAAGGTAAACAAACTAAAGGTTCTTTAGTCATCAAAAACATTGTTTCAATACTCTCATCTAATTCTTGCTAGTTTTCTTTTTGAATTACATTTTGTAATAATTATTATTTATTAAAACCTTTAAATAAAATATTACTCTGATTTCGTTGATTATCATTCTTAATACATTTTCGACAAATATTAATAAAATCTTGATTATTTAGAATAATAACTTGTGTTATATATATTTTTTTTAAACCAGTATTCTTTTCATCTTGGAACTTTTTTTATTAGCGCCTGTACGTGTAATGTAAGCTTGTCTTATATTCGATACCTTTTTTATGTTTTTTGTCATGTTGGTTAGGAAGAACAATCTTCACCATGAATTTTAGTACAGATTAAACACACCAAATATTAGACATGCGTTCCAGTGAAAGTTTAATTTTGGATGCGTTGACATTGTAGTACTGTTCAGCAAAAAAATATAATTATCATTATATTCAAATCAATGCCGAAATCAAAAACTTATCGAATCGACAAATAATCATTCGGTCAATTTTTTACCAGATGTCCAAAAATAATGAAAACAGCTGTAATACGAGCCGGGCCGGGCCTATATTTGGCCCCAATGCAGGTCTCTATTTTGGAACGTTTCAATACGTTCCACTATGACGTACTATACGTATCACCGCAAGGCGTGCCAATACGTACTAACCAAACATGCATATACCAGTCCGTAACCGACGCCATCCCGTGCCACACCCCGAACCACTTCTCTTATAGGGTATTGGATCATGCTAAGAAGCATTACACACGAACGACCAATCATTTATATTTTTGATAAAATTATGTAATGATTAATCACCACATTCTATAGCTTATACTTATTGCATACGATGTGAAAAATTACTAGTTATTTTCTTGTGATGATTGAAGTCACTTGACCGTTATAATAATTTACGTCATCAAATATTCGGATAATATCTAGAATAATCTAAAAATTCGGACGTTTGATCATCCTCTATCGCTATGAAAAAATTACATAATTTACATATGGATATAATCTAAAATTACATAACGATAAAATGTAATTTTTGTTAGGATTAATAATCGGGAAGGATTAGGCATTAGAGTTTTTAAATTTAGCTATGTCGATCGATACAAGCCGGAATTTTAATTCCAGTCAGATGATCACTTATTGTTTACTTCTTTATTGGTAGTAAAAGGTTTACAGTAAAAGTCTTTAGCCAAATACGTCAAAAAAATGCTATTCTTAGAGTATGTATAAAGTAATTAACGACACTTCTACTTTATATTAGAACGATTAAAAGTTGTCAGCTGATGTGTCATAAGATAAAATATACAGCAAATGTTACTTAAAATAATATTTCAAAGAAAAATTCGAAGATTAATGAGAAAGCATCTTTGATTAATAGGTTGGAAGTTGTTCACCTGACTTAACAGGGATCTCTTTTAGTCCAATTAGGATTATTGATCCTCATTCAGGCGAGTATAATATTTTCTTGCTTGCAAGACTTTAATATTAAACAGTGTCAGTGTTTAAAGTACGTTTTACACTTAAAACAATGCAAGAACAAAGGAAAATTTAAAACTTAATTAAACCATGGAATTACCTTAAAATCAGCAAATTGCAAAATAATTCTGTTGTTTTTATATGATCAACAATAGACGTAGAGACATATCACGAGACATCCCTGTGACACCCAAAAAAAAATAAATACACCCGAACTTAGACGTGATTTTTTCTGTCTTTTGAAATCACGAGCATTAAAAATTGTGAATACTGTGAAAATATTTACAATGTTTACAAATCAAGACCAAGAATCAATAACTAGTTCAAGGATTGTGCCTTTACTAGAAACACCATCTTCCAATCCTGAAAAAGACCAAGCTCGTATAATTATCGAACCAACGTTTCCCCCAATTATTGATACGATCGAACTTATTTCCAAAAAATCACCAGATGGTAGAATTCCTGCAAGAGCACCTAACGCTTTTATCATTTATCGTAAAGTTTATGTAGAGACAGCTCGCGAAAAAGGTCACTACTTGCCAATGACCATTATATCTTCTATGGCTTCACAGAGTTGGGAATCAGCAGATGAGACAGTTAAAGAAGAATATCGTCGGATTGCCAAAGAAGCGCTAAGAGTTCGTAATGAAATGTATCCCAAATCTGGGAGAAGAAAAAGGAAGGATAGGTGGAACATTGTGAGCTTCGAGCCTCCAACACCTCCTGTAATTAAGAATGATAGGAAACGTAAAAATAAAAACATTAAGAACAACAACAAAAAAAACGTTAGAAACATTAATTCTAATAATAAAGACACTAGTCCAGTTATTCATGATAAATCATCATTTAGCACAAATTCTACATCTGAATTGCCCTTTAACGCGTATTCCCCTATCAATGTACACATTCCTTTTAATCCCGATTTGACATCTTTTTCTAGTGAATCATTATATCAAGATTATTTAAAGGATACAGATTTTAATTCCGATAATGTATTTTATACAAACACACATTCACCTACTTCAGATATTTTTACATCACCCACTTCGGATATTTTTATATCACCTACTTCAGATATTTTGACATATATGCACTCTAATTCATTATATAAAATGAATTGTCAACCATTTGACTTAAACTCTGTATTAAATCAAGACCAAACATATTTTAATGTAAATGAACATTTAAATTTACAATTTTTAAATAATTATAATTATTCATTTAATGATTCATATAATGAAAATGATGAAGTTACTTCTTTGTTTGCAATAAATCAAATAACCGCAAACACACCGGTTATCGAATCAAATAATTATGATATGGCTCAATCTTTACAGTTTAGCATTAATGATTCAAATATTACTAATTCTGATGCTGCTGATGATGAGGGAATTAAAAGAATTCAAGTAGCTATTTTACACAATTCGGGTGCTAAGGTTTCA